ACTTCCTGCTGAGCCCCTTCCTCTTTACAGCTAGTCCCCTTTCTACTCTCATGGTGGTTTTGTTTTGGTTTTATTTTGGTGACCCAGTGAGTTTCACTTGGGTCCCTTACAGTAATGTGTGTGAGGAGTTATTTACAGAGCCTTGGACACCTTGCTTTGGCTATCTCACTGAAGAAAGTGTCTCTTGCTCCCCCAGCATCCATAAACTGCTTATAAAGCCCCAGGAAGGGCCACGTGGATCCTTGTGAGCCACACCCCCTTCCATGACAGGATGTTGACAAGCCTGGTCTTGTACAGGTCATCTTGTGGGTTCGAGTACAATAGCCTGACCATGTGGCTGGACAGTGTTCCACAATACTCCATTCCTTCCTCCAGCTTCCATTCTTTCTGCCCTCTCTTCCACGATGTTCCCTGAGCCTTGGACAGGGTGATACCAAGGTCCCATTTATGGCTGAACATTCAACAGTCCCTTATTCTCAGTGTTTTGACCAGTTATGCATCTCTGTAGTTACCATTGCCCTCAGCAAAAAGAAGCCCCCCTGACTAAAGCTGACAGCAGTGGCAATCTGTGGGCATAAACACGATTATTTAAAAGACAGTTTGATGAGCACAGCATGTCCATTTGGCAAAACAGCAATAGCTTCCCCAGCAGGATCTGTCACTTCCCCAGCCACAAGCATTTGACCATGTTCACAGAACTAGACGTGAATCTTCTCCTGCCACTGTTGCGCCAGTGGCACATTTTGCCTGGCCAGTCAGTGTTACATAGAAGACCACAGCTGAGTAAGACTGTTGATGACCAACAATTCTCTCAGCAGCCTGCATAGCACTGATGGCGACCAGCAGGGAGGAAGCTTCCAGCTCTGTTCCAGCTCGATTTCTCTGTATTCTATGACCAGAGCCTATGGTGCCCAGCAAGTCATATCATCTACTTCTGATTGGCAACTAGCCTCAGTGGCAATTGCCTGTATTGTTTGGGGGGGGGGGGCTCTGGGGCCTCCCTAATCAGACCTTGAACTTCTGAGCCTCCTGCTTTTACCTCCCAGGTGCTAGGATTATAGGCATATACTACCATGCCTGGTTTATGCAGGGCTAAAGGATGAACCCAAGGCTTTGTGTGTTCTAAGCAAGCACTCTACCAACTGAGCTACACCCTCAGCCCTGCTCAGTGATCTTCATTCTCTGTTGTCCAAGATGTACTCTATCTGGACAGTGCACATGGCACAGCAGGGCCTTGGGCCGATCACCTACCTATCAAATAGTTCAGAGACCCTGGCAAGGTCTTCCTGTATGCAGCAAACAGAAGTTTTCTGCAGTTGGTTGACAGGACAAAATGACAACAGCATAATTAGTGACTGCCAGCATCTGCTAGTGCATACACACACACACACACACACACACACACACACAGACACACACACGCACAGTGAAAAGTGCCTGACATCTGACATATTTAAGAATTCGAATCTTCAAAACTATTTTTAAGGGCAAAAACAAAAGGCTGGAGAGATGGCTCAGTGATTAAGAGCACTGACTGCTCTTGCAGAGGACCCAGGCTCAATTCCCAGCACCCACATGGTGGCTACAAACCGTCCTTAACTCCAGTTCCAGGGGAATCCAAAGCCTTCTTCTGACCTCCAAAGCATTGCACGACACGGGTGCACTCACATATATGCCGGCAATACATTCATACACATAAAATAAAAATAATAAATAAAATATTTTTTAAAAGGGGGGAGGGCTGGAGAGATGGCTCAGCAGTTAAGAACACTGGCTGTTCTTGCAGAAGACCCGGCTTCGTATGCCAGCACCCATGTGGCAGCTAACAACTGTCCGTAGCTCCAGTTCAAGGGGATCCCACAGCCTCTTCTGTCCTCCGTGGGCATTGCACGACATGGGTGCATTTATCTACATGCAGGTGTAAAACTCATACACATAAAAAGAATAAATAAAATATTAAAATTAAAAGGGGGGGCAGAGAGATGGTTCAGCGGTTAAGAACACTGGCTGTTCTTGCAGAAGACCCAGGTTTGAATCCCAGCGCCCACATGGCAGCTAACAACTGTCTGTAACTCCAGTTCCAGGGGATCAGACAGACTCTTCTGTCCTCCACGGGCATTGCACAACACAGGTGCACTTACCTACACACAGGCAATACACGCATACACATAAAATGAAATAAAAAATAATAAAATATTTGGGGCTGGAGAGATGGCTCAGTAGTTAAGAGCACTGACTGTTCTTGCAGATGACCCCAGTTCGATTCCCAGCACCCACATGGAGGCTATGAACCGTCCTTAACTCCAGTTCCAGGGGAATCTGAAGCCCTCTTCTGACCTCCGTGGCATTGCATGACATGGGTGCACTCACATGCAGGCGATACACTCATACACATTAAAAAAAAAAGCTGGGCATGGTGGCACACGCCTTTTAGTCCCAGCACTCAGGAAGCAGAGAGAGGCGAATCTCTGTGAGTTCAAGGCCAACCTGGTCTACATAGTGAATTCCAGGAGAGCTGAAGCTACCGTCTCAAAAATTCCAAAAAAAAAAAAAAATTGAAATGGATCAGTGTTGGCATTCAGTGACTAGTCATGTCTAATTCCTATCCACTCATCACCAGTGCAATTAAAAAGAAGAGCCAACATTCACAATTAATGCCTCAAAGGGGGCTGGCCTTGAACTCACAGAAATCCACCTGCCTCTGCCTCCTGAGTGCTGGAATTAAAGGCGAGTGCCACCACGCCCAGCAAAATAAAATATTTTTTTAAAAAAGAAAGAAAATAATTGAAATCTTGCTGAGCATGGTGATGCATGCCTTTAATCCCAGCACTTGGGAGGCAGAGGTAGGCAGATCTCTGCAAGATAGAGGCCAGCCTGGTCTACATAGTGAGTCCCAGGTCAACTGGGGCTACAGGGAGATGCTGTCTCAAAAAAGACCAAAAAAAAAAAAAAAAAAAAAAAAAAAAAAAGGGGGAAAAAAAAGAATTTAAAAAAAAAAAAAAAAATGCTCTTGCAGAGGACCTGAGTTCAGTTCCCAGCACCCACACGGTGGTTAACAAACCACCTGTAACTCCAGTTCCAGGGGATCTGACACCCCTTCCTCTTCTGACCTCCATAGCATTGCATGCATGTGATGCACTCACATACATGCAGGCAAGACACTAATACACAAAAAATAAAAATAAATAAATTTAGGGGCTGGAGAGATGGCTCCGTGGTTAGAACACTAGCTGCTAAACCAGGTGTGGTGACCCATGCCTTTAATCCCAGCACTCAGGAGGCAGAGGCAGGTGGATCTCTGTGAGCTCCAGGCCAGCAGGGGTTACAGGGAGACCCTGTCTCAAAAAGAACAACAGAAAAAGAGCACTAGCTGCTCTTGCAGAGGACCTGGGTTCAGTTCCAGGCACCCACATGGCAGCTAACAACTGTCCATAACTCCAGTTCCAGGGGATCAAATGCTCTCTTCTGGCCTCCCTGGTCATTGCATAATATGGATACACTTGCATGCAGGTAATACACTCATATATGTAAAATAAAAATAATGAAAAATTTTTAATTTTTAAAAAAGGAATGCAAATCTCTGTCTGGGTCCTGCCCTCCCTGGTGCCCCATGCTCCTCTTTCTGAAATGGAGCATGGGGCACCAAGGGGACCTGAAGGCAGACAGGTGAGGTCCATGACAGCTATGGCCACCAGAGGGCACCCCAACCCCAGAGACAGTCTTGCCTAGTCAGCGATGCACTAGGCATCCAGAGATGTCTATGTTCCTTGGCCCAAAGGGTAGGAATAAAATAGTTTAGAAAGTGACAGCTTGAGGTACAGTCAGTCAGGCAAGGGAAGTCACCCCTTAGGTAGTAAAACACTGTTGGAACTGAGTCAGAGGCTGGGATGGTACTCCAAATTGGCTATTCATGACCTTGGGCAAGGCATTTCCCAGGCATGGCTCAGTTAACAGGGGTGGAAGAACTTTTACCTCCAGTGCTAACACCAGACAGAGCTCTGGGCCTGGAGATGCTATTTTTCCTTTATTACCCAGCCTGCATCCACTCAGGCCAGCTCACACTGCTAGCTACAGCAGTGATCTCAGGAATGCCACATGTCCCAGTCCCTGACTCCAGAGCCCCAGGATTCTGCTGTGGTAGGGTAGTGTGCCAGGGTGAGTATGTAGGAAAGCAGAAGGCCAAGGTCAGGTGAGCAGAGGGCCCCAACGGGTCTTGATTCATTCAAAACAGACATCCGGTTTCCTCTGGCCTTTCTGGCCTCTCTGCCGGGATCTGGGGGCTTAAAGGAATGAGTCATAGTGGGGGGTATAGGGGAGTTCCCAGCTAATCAGCCTGGGACAGGATAGCCTGAATGCTGAAACAGCTCATCTCTAGTCAAGTGTGGGGTAAGCACAGAAGGCAAGACCCCAATGTCCTATGTTGGGCCCCCTGACCCTGCAGGAGGTAATCTCTTCTGAGTTTATGGGTAAGAATGACAGCCAAGTCCTTCTTCCTCTCTCAGAAAGTTTGCCTAGGGTAGAGGTGGCTAGAGAATCACAGAGAGGGGCAAAAGGGGCTGCCCAGCCTGCCTGCCACAGGGAGAGAGGGAGCAACCTTGACCTAAGACATGGAGGTCTTACTGGAGGAGAGGCCGGCGGCAGCTTCCAGGGCCTCAACAGCAGTTAGTTCAGCCTTCCTGGACTGTTCAAAATCATACACCCTGGAGCAATTTAGGCTTGGGTGTGGCTGGAGGGGAGGAAGAGAATTTGAGGGGACAAGACGTCAAAAGAAGGATCAGAGATTCCACAATTTCACAAACTTTCGCAAACAGCTTTTTGTCCCAACCCTCTGCATTGTCCTGGGCACCAAATTTGCATAAATCCTAGGAAGTTATTACTAAGCCTGAGTTGCCCCAGCCCCAGGTAATTTCCTCCCAGGCCTCCATGGGGTTATGTATAAAGGCCCCCTGGAGCTGGGCCCTGAGAGAGCCCAGAGCTACAGCCCAGATCATCCAGGACCCATGGCACAACCTTCTGCCCAGAGCCACATGAAGCTGATCAGTGAGTGTCCGGGTTACCTGCCCTGGGTGTGGGAGGGAAGGAGGCTGGAGTGGCAAGGTCTCCTGAGCCCTGTCTGTCTACTCCCAGCCCTGCAGCTGCTGCTGTGGCACAGTATTCTCTGGATGGTGCAGACCATTCCCCTGGTCTCTGCCAGTTCTGTGCCACCACCCCTGCCCCTACCCAAGAGCTTCCTACTCAAGTCCTTAGAACAAGTGAGGAAGATCCAGGCCAAAGACGAGGTGCTGCTGGAGCAGCTGGTGAGTAAGAGGCGGCAGAGGGTGTGGAAGAAAGACACTAAAGAGGGCTGGGGGAGCAGGGAAGGGTGAGAGCAAACGGGCAGGGGCAGGCCACGGGTACAGCACAGAGCAGTGTTTGCCTACATGCACAAGGGCCTGGGTTCTACCCATAGAACAACAGAACATTGAGGAAGGGCACAGGGAGCAGGAAGGAGACATGGAAGAAAAGAAAGAGGTGGGACCCTCTGGTGGGGGGGTCCACCAGGAAGGTGGGGGGCTGAGAAGCCAGGTGGACAGAAATGGAAGGACTCGGGAAGGAAAGGTAGCCTGCCCCAAGGGCGTGCCCCTCAGCATCCTTCCATCTGCAGTGTGCCACCTACAAGCTGTGCCACCCTGAGGAGCTGGCACTGCTTGGTCACTCCCTGGGCATCCCACAGGCTCCCCTGAGCAGCTGTTCCAGCCAGGCCCTGCAGCTGGTGAGTGTTTGGAGGAGGACTCAGGAGGAAGAGGAGGAGGGACTATACCCTCATACTTGGGTGCCTGGGAGGTGTCCCATCTCACACAACTAACCTTCCTACTGTCCCCAGAGGAGCTGCCTGAGACAACTCCACAGTGGACTCCTTCTCTACAAGGGCCTCCTGCAGGCTCTGGCAGGGATTTCCCCTGAGCTAGCCCTCACCTTGGACATGCTGCAGCTGGATGTTACCAACTTTGCCACCACCATCTGGCAGCAGGTGAGTCTCCTCATGAGGGGCAAGTGGTAAGTAAGGGTCAGGACAGGGCCATGCCAGTGCACCTGGGCGCCCTGGAAACCCGCTGTATTTCAGAGGCCTGTGTATGGGGAGCTGCCTTCCCATCTACTCCTCCTGCTACTGGTCTTTCTATGGTCCCCTAACTGAGGGAGTCAGATCTCAAGCATGGAAACAGACAGGTTGGAGTCTCAGTTCCCATTCGAGTTAATGATGAGCACCCATAGGCCAGCTCACCAAGTCCCAGCACTCCCTCCTCACCTGCAATAAGGCCTGATCCCTGACCTTCTCTTCCTCCCACAGATGGAAAACTTAGGGGTGGCCCCTGCCGTGCAGCCTACCCAAAACACCATGCCAACCTTTGCTTCTGCTTTCCAGCGCCGGGCAGGAGGTGTCCTGGCCACCTCCCACCTGCAGGACTTCCTGGGGATGGCCTACCGTGCTCTGCGTCACTTCGCCCAGCCCTGAGCAATGCCCTTCCCAGAGAGTATATTTATCTCTATTTAATATTTATGCTTATTTAAGTCTACTATTTAAAGACAGGGAAGAGAAAACGGAGCCCCAGACTTCTAGATCCTTCCCTCCACCTCCGAGTTTTGTTCTCCTGCCTGTAGCAGTGAGAAAAAGCTCCTATCCTCCTGTCCCTGGGGCAGGAGGGACTTAGGTAAATACCAAGTATTGATTCCTGAGGCTGCTCCCGGACCCAGCTCTGAGGTGGCACCCGAAGAACCACAGTGAACCCCCCACCCTAAGGTACCTACTTCAGGGCCCAGGGAGCATCAGGAGGTCTCCCATGTGGGAGACAAAATATCCCTGTTTAATATTTAAACAGCAGCGTTCCCCAACTGAGTCCTTGCGTCCCTTGCTCTGGCCAGTGAGGTCACAGGTCCCCTTGTGTCTCTTCTCTGTCCCCCATGGGAACTAAGCCCTGAGGTCACAGGTCCCCTTGTGTCTCTTCTCTGTCCCCCATGGGAACTAAGCCCTGAGGTCACAGGTCCCCTTGTGTCTCTTCTCTGTCCCCCATGGGAACTAAGCCCCTTGAGGAAGGAGAGGCAGTTAGAGCTGGAAAACTTGGCCCTGGAATTTGCTGGAGACAGTATTCTGATTTTGGAGGACTTGCTCTGACTCCCAGCACAAGGAGCTCAGGCACCAAGGCCAGGATTCTTTTTTAGGGCCTTGCTGGGCTGGGACTGGGAGTATGGGGGGGAAAGGCAGGAGGGATCATGCGGAGAGGGTATGGCATGGAAGGACTCCCATCTGTTTACCCTCCCCCAGGCCCCCACTTGCTCACTGTAACCAAGCTTGAGGATAATAAAGTGTTTGTCTCCAGTAAGTGTTCTTTCTCCTTGATTCTGACTGATGCCTGGCCGGGGACTATTGAATGGCAGGAGAGCCCAGAGGCAGAAGAGGAGGTGCAAGAAGGAAGGGTGCTCTAGCTCGCCCTTAGCACCTATCACCTGGTACTGCCAGTTTCTTGGGGAAGGCAGAAGGCAGATGAATCATGAGAGTGGAGAGAGGGGGCATGGAGTTGGGACAGGCTGGACTGCAGCCAGGCACACTGAGTATGTGCACAGGGCTGGGCCCTTCATCACCCACCATGAACAGCCCTCCACAAAGCTACCCATTGCACAGAATGATGCCATGTCTTTTACAGTCAGGAAGCTGAGTCTGAGGAGATCATTTGGGTCAAAACTCAAGTTTCCAGGCTTGGCTGTCTCCTATAGCAAGCTCTGCCTCCACCCATCATTCAAGGGGCACTTCTGTCTGCCTCAGCTCCTAGGCTGAAGAGGCCTCAGAGGGTCAGGACATGGCCGCAGAGAGCAGGTGACATCACACCTCCAGCTGCAGGATCCCTATGGTTTGGGGATACTCAGCTAGGCCAACCTAGCTACCTTCTTGACAGCCCTCTCCATACTTGGCCCTGCAACACCTCACCACCACTGTCCTTCCCACAGACTCAGAGGGCCTCGACCCTCAACAGGGCTTGGAGAGTATGTAGAAGTCAGAGTTCCCACCCTCATCCTTCAACCCTCTTCTGGAGGGAACAGACTGTGAACTCTGGGTCAGACTGGGTGGGGTGTGACTGAAGAGCAGGACATCTTGCCCCAGCACTGTGGGGCCTTTTCCAGTACTCCCTTTTAATGCGGGTGGGGGGCTGTGGGGGTGTGTGCTGACTCTTCACCACTCCAGTGGGATCCGTGAATGATGAGCCCTGCTTCTGCACCTCCTCTCCCTTCCACCACAGGGCTGTGCTTTGTGCACAGCCCAAGGAGCTGCAGGGAAAGACACTGTCCCCATCCAGGCAGCACATTGACAGCACTGATAGTCACTGGATTCCCAGAGATCTTTATTTATAAATGAACTGAGGAAAACTCCCCTCGTAAGTTATAAAAATATACTTATATATACATTGCGGGGCTATAAAATCTCTCTCTGGGACTATGGTGACCTCTAGAACTGGGGCAGCCATTAGAGCTGTTTACACTTTTTGGGTACTGGTAGAACAGAGATCACAGGAGGAACTGGGAGACCTGACAGGAGACGTGACAGAGTCAGAGGGCAGGAGTGGGGAAAGAGTTCAGAATGACAAAGTGTTCTTGCACCACCGGACATGGCCAACATCAGCTTATCCTCACCACTCCCTGTTGGGAGAGCTGGGGCTGGAACCCTCCCGTCCAGGCGACTCCAAGTTCCTTAGAGTGCAGCAATGGCTTTGGCAGCTACCTGGCGACCCAGGGGCAGGCTGAGGTCCGTGATGGCCAGCACTACCTTGGGGCTGGACATAGCAGACACTTTCACCAGTTCCGACACCTGCCACAGACAGATGAACATCTGCAGCTCCTGGGTGTGACACCCCAGAAGAAAGGCCCTTCCCTTCTGAGAGCTACTCCTGAACCCCACCTCTGCCAAGGTCCACTGCTGCCCAGGGGTACTCACTGTGGTGAAGGGCATGAACTGCAGGATGCTGCCCCTGCTGTCCTGCTCCAGGCAGTCCACACACTCCTCCATGAACCACTGCACAAACTGGGTGTGAGGGCCCGCAGTGCGAGAGCCCAGGATGGAGGAAATGAGCAGGAACAGGTTGGCTGTGCAAAGGGGAAGCAAGACAGCAGATTTCCAGAAAAGGTCAGACTCAGGAAGGAGGGGGCTGAGATGGGAAAGGAAGAAGCACTAAGAACATCTCACCCCAGGACGCCAATGAGAGCAAGTGTAGGAAGAGGACAGGAGGAAGGGGCTACACAGAGCTGAAGACAGACAGCAGGAAGCGGGGGAGGATGGAAGCTGAGTAGAAGGTGAGGGGCCCAGAGGACCCCCTTCTGGCTGACAAGGCCCTGCCCAGAAGGGGCTCCTTCCAGCTCAGCCTACAGGTAGGTGCAGCCAGGACTTACCCAAGACTCGGTTCAGAGGGTCCCTCATGTTAACTGTGTGTAGTTGGGAGGCTGAGAGGGAGCTATTCATAGACCGGTCAGCTGTGGAACAGGCAGAAGGGGTGCTGTGCTCAGAGATGGCTCTTCAGGGCAACCTTACCCATCCTCCACCCATCAGGGGTATCTGGAGCATGTAGAGTCCAGAGAAGATTCTTGGACCAAGAGGTAGAGAAAGGCCTGAACACTGAGAGTACCGTAAGCAGATGAGAGAGAACCAGCCTTCTTCACAGTGCCAAGAGACTGATCTTGGCACTGTGAATGGTTGAAGCTGCTTAACGTTTTTTTTTTTAATATTTTATTTTTTAATTTTTATTTTATGTGTATTCATGTATTGCCTGCACATAGGTAAGTGCACCCATGTCGTGCAATGCCCGCAGAGGTCAGAACAGGCTGTCAGATCCCCTGGAACTAGAGTTACGGACAGTTGTTAGCTACCATGTGGGTGCTGGGATTCAAACCCAGGTCTTCTGCAAGAACAACCAGTGTTCTTAACCACCGAGCCATCTCTCCAGCCCCTTATTATTTTTGTTATTTTGTCTTTTTTTTTCCCCAGAGCTGAGGACCAAACCCAGGGCCTTGTGCTTGCTAGGCAAGCGCTCTGCCACTGAGCTAATCTCCAACCCCTTATTATTTTTATGTGTATGCATGCATTGCCCGCATGTAGGTAAGTGCACCCATGTTGTGGAAGACAGAGAGACTGTCGAATTCCCTGGAACTGGAGTTACGGACAGTTGTTAGCTGCCATGTGGGTGCTGGGATTCGAACCCGGGTCTTCTGCAAGAACAGTCAGTGTTCTTAACCACTGAGCCATCTCTCCAGCCCCAGAAGCTGCTTCTCTTAAAGCCCCAAAATAATCACACCTGCTAAGGTCACACAGTTTGTAAGTACAGACCCAACATCTTTTCTTTGCTCGAGCATTTGGCTGGTCCCCTAGTCCCTAAAAGGCTCCACATAAACTTCTAGGTTCAGGAGAAACCCCTGGAAATAGGAAAAATTGAATGCCACACAGAGCTTCTGGCAGAAAGAAGTCTGGCAGTGAGGAGAGGGCAGTAAGACGGTAATGACATCAGGTGGGGGTGGGGGCTCTGCGTGGGAAGGCGGGGTGGGCCACAGGGCACGTCTCTGGGGAAGAAAGGAAAGTAGGGAGGGTGACTCAAAGGCACAGGCTGTGCTGAGACAGTGAACTCACTGGGTACCTTGTCACCTCTCCACTGGTGACAGGAGGGACAACTGTGAAGTTAGGAGGGGCCTTGGGGGAGAGCTTTGCCTTTAGGGAGAGTAAGCAAGTGATAACTCTGTCTTCAGGGGCAGGCAACAGAACACCTCCTAGGGGACAGAACGGTACAAGCTCCCACCACAGGGTCTGACAGCCTGCAAAGACAGCAAAGACTGCTTGCAGGTGGGGAATCCTGGAGCAGGGGAGGGGTGAGTCCCAGGAGGAGCCCTGACCCTCTCAAATGCTCACTGGGACTTGACAGAATGTTGGCATCATCCTCATTGGAGCTCAGGAGTCGCATAAGCTTGGACGGCTGCATGTCTTCCACAGGAAAGAGGCTGATGTAATCCTGGGAGACAGGAAGTCATTGTCATGCACCCAGTTTCCCAAGTCTCCAGCTTTTTGTGGGCAGATCTGGAGTTCAAATTTGGGTGGAGAAGAGTGTGTCCCCTACAGCCTTGGTCACCATCACCAGCACTGATCCTTCCCGCCCCTCCACCGCATGAGAAGTGAGAAGGGACCCTTACCAAGGGCACTCTGGGGCCCACTCACTAGCCCGTCAGACCTTGACCAATTAAAGAGGCGCAAATAAGCTGACCCCAGGGCAGGGACCGGGTCCCATTCCTTATACCCTATACCTCTTTCCAAGTAGGGGTCTGCTGAATAAACACATGACCAAGTCAATGGAGGGGCCCTACCTCAATGTCTTCCCTGTGTCTCTTCTTTTGGCGGGAAGATGCCTGTCCCTTGTGGGAAGAGTAAGAACTCAGGGCACACCATACTGCCAGTCTGGCAATTGTTCCAGGAAAAAGGGGCATAATTAG